ACAAAAATGATGGTTCATTTCTTTTGAAACCCTTACCAAATTGCATGTCCGAGATGCTCTTCTCGCCCATCTTCCCGGCTTGTATCGTAATGATGCACTGTTTACTACCCATAATCTGTCTTAGTCCCTCGAAAAAATTCCAATCCCAAAATTAGCTTGAAATCATCCATCTGAACTGCAGACAAGTATGTCCTTCCCTTGAAAGGATTTGCTTTGATTGACATCGATTTCGTTACTCCAACTATTGGTTGAGCAGCGAAGTTGATTGCTTTGACCTTTCCACTACCTTTCTCCAGAACAAGTCCGAGTCGCTCCACTTCGGTACTTGCGAGGTAGTTGTGGATAGCACCCGTATCCACCATGGCCCTGATTATTTTTACATTGATCTTCACATCAATGTACATTAGGCCTTTGGCTCGACAAATGCGAGCCTTTGATTCTTTCCTCTTTACCTCTTTCGAGGAAACTCCATTCTTTTTAGTAGCTCGGTACGATGGTGTATTTCACCGATGTGAGAATGCGCCAACTACATCCTCATCCTCTTCGGAGTCTATCTCACCGTGATAGCTAGCTTGTGGGACATCTTGCTTTGATCTGATTCCACCACTCGCTAGTTGATAGTATGCTTTCACCATCCATTTCTAAGGACACTCCGCCACCCAATGAGGTCTTTCACATAAAAAGCACATTAACTTAGGAGTGGCATCAAATTTGCCCTCCGTTTCTTTTCCTTTGTTCTAGTTGTTACTACTACTACTGCTGTTATAGTTTCCTTAACGGCTGTTTTGGTAGTTTCCCTGCGAGTTAGTATGACGAGAGCCTTGATAGGCTCCTTCCTTGTTCTGAGAGTAACGCTCTCCCCATTTGAGTTCGAGCTGGGTCTGTAAGGTCTGTTTCGAACTCCGATATCTTGACTATTCTCCGAAGGTCGATCTTTTCTTGACTCGGTCTGATAGCCACTTTAGCATTCAGTGGCTCCCTTGGCTACGCTCAAATCAGTGACCTTCTGCATCTGAAATTTTGTGCATGTCCACTATTTCAACCCTTCCATGAAGGTAAATAGCTTGTCCTTTTCCGACATATTCAGCATATGCCCTGAAAAGGCTTTCACATACTCCCTGATAGAGCTTGTATGTTTTAGTTCTTGTAGTGCATGTCACGCCTGATATTC